ACACAAGTAAAAAAGAAAAAACAAACAATATAAAAGAATGACAAGCAAATATGCAAAAAAAAAAATAACATAAAAAAAAAACAAAAAGACAGAACCAAAACGAAAAATATCTCTAACACAGCAAAATACCAAACCAACAACCAACACAAACATCTATCATGCTATAAGCAACACTATGGGGTGCAGAAAAACAATTGTTCGGTCAAAACAAGTCAAACCAAAAAGCAAAATACAAAAAAATCTAAGAAAACGCACATCATAAATTATGATAGTACAAAGGTTGAGAAAACAAAACAACAATAGACAAGCAGAAAGCACAAAAACACACAAACATGAACATGAATGTAGGCATCACGAAAAAACAGAAGGTTACAAAAACAAACCACCAATCACAAAATAAAAAGACAAAAAAACCCCCAAGCAGACCAAACATACACAAAACAACAAACAAAAAAAACAACGCAAGCAGCACCAAAACGAAAACAAAACAGTACAAGCAACAGAGCAACAAACAAAAAAAATCAAAGACAAGTCGACAAACACTAAAAGCAAAAAACCCTTCAAATTGGAAAACAAGTTGTCTCAGGAATCTAAAATGAGTTCAAGTCCCCAGGGCCAGATCAACTACACCCAAGAGTATTGAAGGAACTAGCGGAAGTCATTTCGGAACCATTGGCAATCATCTTTGAGAGTTCTTGGAGAACAGGAGAAGTTCCAGCAGATTGGAGGAGGGCCAATGTGGTCCCAATCTTCAAGAAGGGAAAAAAGGATGACCCAAACAACTACTGTCCGGTCAGCCTCACGTCGATACCAGGCAAGATTCTGGAAAAGATTATTAAGGAAGTGGTCTGCAAACACTTAGAAACAAATGCAGTCATCGCTAATAGTCAACATGGATTTATCAAAAACAAGTCATGCCAGACTAATCTGATCTCTTTTTTCGATAGAGTTACAAGCTGGGTAGATGCGGGGAATGCCGTGGATGTAGCGTACCTGGATTTCAGTAAGGCCTTCGACAAGGTCCCCCATGACCTTCTGGCAAGGAAACTAGTCCAATGTGGGCTAGGCAAAACTACGGTGAGGTGGATCTGTAATTGGTTAAGTGGACGAACACAGAGAGTGCTCACTAATGCTTCCTCTTCATCTTGGAAAGAAGTGACAAGTGGAGTGCCGCAGGTTCCGTCCTGGGCCCGGTCCTGTTCAACATCTTTATTAATGACTTAGATGAAGTGATTTTAATGCATATATGTGTTGTTCAGATTCAAATTGAGAGGGAGAGCCAATACTCCAGAGGACAGGAGCAGGATTCAAAACGATCTTGACAGATTAGAGAGATGGGCCAAAATTAACAAAATGAAGTTCAACAGTGACAAATGCAAGATACTCCACTTTGGCAGGAAAAACGAAATGCAAAGATACAGAATGGGGGACGATGCCTGGCTCGAGAGCAGTATGTGTGAAAAAGATCTTGGAGTCCTCGTGGACAACAAGTTAAACATGAGCCAACAATGTGATGTGGCGGCAAAAAAAGCCAATGGGATTTTGGCCTGCATCAATAGGAGCATAGTGTCTAGATCTAAGGAAGTAATGCTACCCCTCTATTCTGCTTTGGTTAGACCACATCTGGAATATTGTGTCCAATTCTGGGCACCACAATTCAAGAGAGATATTGACAAGCTGGAATGTGTCCAGAGGAGGGCGACTAAAATGATCAAGGGTCTGGAGAACAAGCCCTATGAGGAGCGGCTTAAGGAACTGGGCATGTTTAGCCTGAAGAAGAGGAGGCTGAGAGGAGACATGATAGCCATGTATAAATATGTGAGAGGAAGCCACAGGGAGGAGGGAGCAAGCTTGTTTTCTGCTTCCTTGGAGACTAGGACGCGGAACAATGGCTTCAAACTACAAGAAAGGAGATTCCATCTGAACATTGAGGAAGAACTTCCTGACTGTGAGAGCGTTCAGCAGTGGAACTCTCTGCCCCAGAGTGTGGTGGAGGCTCCTTCTTTGGAAGCTTTTAAACAGAGGCTGGATGGCCATCTGTCAGGGGTGATTTGAATGCAATATTCCTGCTTCTTGGCAGAATGGGGTTGGACTGGATGGCCCATGAGGTCTCTTCCAATGCTTTGATTCTATGATTCTATGATTCTATGTAAACATCGGCTAGAGCAGTGGTTCTCAACCTTCCTAATGCTGTGACCCCTGAATACATTCCCTCATGTTGTGGTGACCCCCAACCATAATATTGTTTTTGTTGCTAGTTCATAACAGTCATTTTACTACAGTTATAAATCATAATGTAAATATCAGATATGCAAGATGCATTTTCATTCATTGGACCAAACTGGGCACAAATGCCCAATGCAACCACATGTAAATGCTAGTGGGGTTGGGAGAGGATTGATTTTGTAATTTGGGAGTTGTAGTTGCTGGGATTTATAGTTCACCTATAATCAAAGAGCATTCTGAACTCCACCAGCGATGGATTTAAACCAAATTTTGGCACACAGAGCTCCCATGACCAACAGAAAATACTGGAAGGGTTTTGTGGGCATTGACCTTGAGTTTTGGAGTTGTAGTTCACCTACATCCAGAGAGCACTGTGGACTCAAACAATGATGGATCTGGACCAAACTTGGCACAAATACTCAATATGCCAAATGTGAACACTGGTGGAGCTTGGGGATAATAGACCTTGACTTTTGGGAGTTGTAGTTGCTGGGATTTATAGTTCATTACAATCAAAGAACATTCTGAACTCCACCGATAGAATTGGCTCAAACTTCCCACATGGAATCCCCATGACCATCAGAAAATACTGTGTTTTCTGATGGTCTTTGGCGACCCCTCTGACACCCCTTCGCGACCCCCTCAGGGGTCCCGACCCCCAGGTTGAGAAACACTGGCTTAGAGCTAATATCAGCTAGAGCAACCTGACCCCAAGGTCCAGTGTCAATCAATATCACCTGTAGGTTTTTCAAGTTTGCAAACTAACTCATCAGAAATGGTCTTTTCAGGAGCAGGTAGGAATCTTCTATTTTATTCTAAATTATTATGATTTCCCTTTATTATTTTATTTTCTCCTAACGGCTGCCACAGGGACAGCCAAGAGGAAAAAGGCTGCTGCTTCTGCTGGCAACGGAGGGACTTGAGGAGCCCATCTGACAGATGGCCTATTTAAAAGCCTCCAAGGAAGAAGCTTCCACTGGACTCCAAGGCAGAGAGTTCCACTCCTGAACAACTCTACTGCGAATGCTTACTTTGCGTAATGGGTTGAGCCGCCCCTGTCTGTTTAACCAATATATAGCTATTTTAAAACCTAGTACTGGAGTCTGTGTGTCTACTTCTTTCTCTGAAAGTACCTGAGATACTTTGTCCCACTGAAAACAGATTAAAGAACATTTTAAGATCCATAAATTGTTCATGAGAAACTCAAGAGTTGGCCAGCCCAGCAAAGCCCTTGGCAAGATGGGCTTTAATTAAGAGATCCACTGAGAAAGATCCTCATTTGGAAACATTTTGTCTCGACTGTGGGAGGCCTGGCCCAGGACTGAATGTTCTGCCTGGGTGCTAAGGAGCTGACTGAGAACACAGCGCATAAGGTTTTGCATGAACATGTGCACCAAAAACACGCTGGTGCTGAATGTGCACGTGATCCTCAGCTTCATTCTTGAAGGACGAAAGAGACAATGGTTTGGGTTTCTGACCACAGCTAGGCAACAATACCTCTTTGAAGAGCAGCTTCCAAATCGGGGTGATCTCCACGTCAATGGTGTTTGGTCCACAGATGGTCCTCCTGCAGAAGAACAAAGGAGGTGAGACCCAGGCATGAGAGCTTAGAACCATATAATCACAGAGTTGGAAGGGACCCCAGAGGTGACCCAGTCCAGCCCTCTTCGGCCAGACAAGAAGACACCATCAAAGCCCTCCTGACAGAGACACAGTATTTCAGGTGAGGTCTGACCAACGCAAACAATTCCCTCAATCAATTCCTGTTGATCCAGCCTGGAATCCCATTGGCTTTTTCTGCTGCTGCATCACACTGTTGACTCAGTTCCATCTGGTAGTCTCCTAAGACTTACTTACTTACTTACTTAGGCGATCCCTCATAGTCTGAGGATGATGGTCCTCCAAGTGTAGTGTCCTGGCGGTGGGTCCGTAGGTGACTGTGGAGCCCTATTCTTGACTGCATCTTCTCCCACAGTGAGGGCATTGGTTTCCAGGTGGAAGGCAGTCCCAGTCGGGGTTGGCTTGATGCGCCTTCCTCTTGGCATGTTTCTCTCTTTCGCCCTCCATTCGTGCCTCTTCAGATTCTGCAGCACTGCTGGTCACAGCTGACCTCCAGCTGGAGTGCTCAAGGGCCAGGGCTTCCCAGTTCTCAGTGTCTATGCCAGAGTTTTTAAGGTTGGCTTTGAGCATGTCTTTCAATCTCTTTTGTCCTCCAACATTCCGTTTTCCATTCTTGAGTTCGGAATAGAGCAACTGCTTTGGGAGACGGTGGTTGGGCATCCGGACAACATGGCCGGTCCAGCGGAGTTGATGGTGGAGGACCATTGCTTCAATGCTGGTGGTCTTTGCTTCTTCCAGCACGCTGACCTTTGTCTGCTTGTCTTCCCAAGAGATTTGCAGGATTTTCTGGAGGCAGCGCTGATGGAATCATTCCAAGTTGAGTGTGACATCTGTAGACAGTCCACGTTTCACAGGCATATAATTGATATATTGTTGTATTGATATTTACTGTTTAATTAAATGCCCAATGATCTTGTATTGTGTATACTGAAACTGTTGCTGTGAACCGCTCTGAGTTGCCTAAGGGCTGAGAAGAGCGGTATACAAATAAAGTAAATAATAAATAAATAATAACAGGGTTGGGAGGACAAGGACTTTATGAATGAGCACCTTGGTGTCTCTATGGATGCCCCGGTCCTCAAACACTCTCTGCTTCGTTCAGAAAAATGCTGTACTTGCAGAGCTCAGACGGTGCTGTATTTCAGTGTCAATGTTGACTTTTGTCAACCATATTTTCCATCTTAATCGCTATGATACTTCATCTTGTTGATGGGAAGCTTGTTGATGGGAAGCTTCCCACCGGAGTGGAAATCATCTATCGGACAGATGGCAAGCTATTTAACCTCAGCAGACTGAAAGCCAAAACCAAGGTTACAACAACATCTGTTATAGAACTCCAGTATGCTGAAGATAATGTCTGTGCACATTCAGAAGAAGGCCTACAAGCCACTCTAAACACCTTCGCAGAAGCATACAAGAAGCTCAGCCTGTCATTGAACATCGAGAAAACCAAAGTGTTCTTCCAGAGGCAGTGCTGATGGAATCGTTCCTGTAGTTGCATGTGACATCTGTACACAGTCCACGTCTCACAGGTGTATAGCAGGGTTGGGAGGACAATAGCTTTATAAACAAGCACCTTGGTCTCCCTGTGGATGTCCCGGTCCTCAAATACTCTTTGGGAAAGTATTATGAGTAGCAATACAGAACCAATCATAGGATCATCAGGATCCCAAGGACCATCTAGTCCAACCTGCCACCATGTTAGAAAACACAACAAGACACCTCTAAAAGAGTGTCATAGAATCATAGAATCAAAGAGTTGGAAGAGACCTCATGGGCCATCCAGTCCAACCCCCTGCCAAGAAGCAGGAATATTGCATTCAAATCACCCCTGACAGATGGCCATCCAGCCTCTGTTTAAAAGCTTCCAAAGAAGGAGCCTCCACCACACTCTCCGGGGCAGAGAGTTCCACTGCTGAACGGCTCTCACAGTCAGGAAGTTCTTCCTCATGTTCAGGTGGAATCTCCTCTTTTGTAGTTTGAAGCCATTGTTCCATTGCGTCCTAGTCTCCAGGGAAGCAGAAAACAAGCTTGCTCCCTCCTCCTCCCTGTGGCTTCCTCTCACATATTTATACATGGCTATCATATCTCCTCTCAGCCTTCTCTTCTTCAGGCTAAACATGCCCAGCTCCTTAAGCCGTTCCTCATAGGGCTTGTTCTCCAGACCCTTGATCATTTTAGTCGCTCTCCTCTGGACACATTCCAGCTTATCAATATCTCTCCTCAATTGTGGTGCCCAGAATTGGACACATCTGGCCAAAGATGGAGAATTTGTTACCCTCTGGTGCAATCTAAGAATTTTTGTGCAGAAAACATGCCTTTGTGCAGAAAAATGTAATTTCCATGCAGAAAGCATACTTAACTCTGCAAAAACATGGGTTGCGTTTCCACAATCTAGTTGTATACCATCCATCTAAACCAACTGTTCAACTCTCCTCCCAAACTGCATCTACACTGTAGAAATAGTGTAATCTGATACCGCTTTTACCGGCATGGATTAAGTCTATGGAATTGTGGGAGTTGGAGTTTGAGGAGGCATATTTAGCAGAGAAGGTTAGAATCCTTGCAAAACTACAACTCGCAGGGCCAAAACTAACAAAATGAAGTTCAACAGTGACAAATGCAAGATACTCCACTTTGGCAGGAAAAACGAAATGCAAAGATACAGAATGGGGCACAGGTTCGAGAGCAGTACGTGTGAAAAAGATCTTGGAGTCCTCGTGGACAACAAGTTAAACATGAGCCAGGAATGTGATGTGGCGGCAAAAAAGCCAATGGGATTTAGGCCTGCATCAATAGGAGCCTAGTGTCTAGATCTAAGGAAGTCATGCTACCCCTCTATTCTGCTTTGGTTAGACCACACCTGGAATATTGTGTCCAATTCTGGGCACCACAATTCAAGAGAGATATTGACAAGCTGGAATGTGTCCAGAGGAGGGCGACTAAAATGATCAAGGGTGTGGAGAACAAGCCCTATGAGGAGCGGCTTAAGGAGCTGGGCATGTTTAGCCTGAAGAAGAGAAGGCTGAGAGGAGATATGATAGCCATGTATAAATATGTGAGAGGAAGCCACAGGGAGGAGGGAGCAAGCTTGTTTTCTGCTTCCTTGGAGACTAGGACACGGAACAATGGCTTCAAACTACAAGAGAGGAAATTCCATCTGAACACGAAGGAAGAACTTCCTGACTGTGAGAGCCGTTCAGCAGTGGAACTCTCTGCCCCGGAGTGTGGTGGAGGCTCCTTCTTTGGAAGCTTTTGAAACAGAGGCTGGATGGCCATCTGTCAGGGGTGCTTTGAATGCAACATTCCTGCTTCTTGGCAGAATGGGGTTGGACTGGATGGCCCAGGAGGTCTCTTCCAACTCTTTGATTCTAGGATTCTATGATTCCATAGTATGGAGCCGTGGCCGTTTGAGTGGTGCCCAACTGTGTAGATGCACCCTGTGGCATCAATGCTCCTCAGGGCTTCCCCACCTGAGGTCTTGCTCCTCCCTGTTCAGGCCGGCTCCGAACTTGGCATGGATCTCTGCGCAGGTGAGGCCTTCCTCAAGAGCTCTGAAACACAAGGAGAAAGGTGATGGCAATTCCCTCCCTGAGCCAAGACTGTGTTTCTCTCAAGAGGCATCCGGTTGTGTCTGAAGGCGCGAGACTCACCCGACCTTCAGGAACTGCTTTGCAGAAGCGTCCCAGGCGTAGCAGACCTTCTGGACGCGAAGGCAGCGCACCTGCAAAGTCAAGAAGAAGATGATGCCAAGCCGTTCGCAGCCTGACCGGAAATAACACTTTCAGACAAAGACCAGAACATTTTTCAAATTTTGTTACATAATGTTATGCGATGCTGGACATCCAGATCATAGAATCATTGAGTTGGAAGAGACCTCATAGGCCATCCAGTCCAACCCCATTTGGCCAAGAAGCAGGAAAATCACATTCAAAGCACCCCCCACAGATAACCATCCAGCCTCTGCTTAAAAGCCTCCAAAGAAGGAGCCTCAACCACACTTTGGGGCAGAGAGTTCCACTGCTGAACAGCTCTCACAGTCAGGAAGTTCATCCTCATGTTCAGCTGGAATCTCCTCTCTTGTAATTTGAAGTCATTGCTCCATCGCATCCTAGACTCCAGGGAAGCAGAAAACAAGCTTGCTCCCTCCTCCCTATGACTTCTCTCATATATTTATACATGGCTATCATGTCTCCTTTCATATATAATATCTTGTATAGAAACATCATGCGAGGATGTGCGGGGCTGGATGAATGCAAGGCTGGGGTGAAAATTGCTGGAAGAAACATGAACAACCTCAGATATGCAGATGACACCACTCTGATGGCCGAAAGCGAGGAGGAGCTGAGGAGCCTTCTAATCAAGGTGAAAGAAGAAAGCGCAAAAGCCGGGTTGCAGCTAAACGTCAAAAAAACCAAGATTATGGCAACAAGAATGATTGACAACTGGAAAATAGAGGGAGAAAATGTGGAGGCCGTGACAGGGTTTGTATTTCTAGGTGGGAAGATGACTGCAGATGCAGACTGTGGCCAGGAAATCAGGAGACGCTTCCTTCTTGGGAGGAGAGCAATGTCCAGTCTCGATAAAAGAGTAAAGAGTAGAGACATCAGACTGGCAACAAAGATCCATTGCCTAGTCAAAGCCATGGTCTTCCCTAAGGATGTGAGAGCTGGACTTTAGGGAAGACTGAGCGAAGGAAGAGAGATGCTTTTGAGCTGTGGTGTTGGAGGAAAGTCCTGAGAGTGCCTTGGACTGTGAGAAGATCCAACCAGTCCATCCTCCAGGAAATAAAGCCCGGCTGCTCACTGGAGGGAAGGAGACTAGAGACAAAGCTGAAGTCCTTTGGCCACATCCTGAGGAGACAGCAAAGCCTGGAGAAGGGAATTATGCTGGGGAAAATGGAAGGCAAAAGGAAGAGGGGCCGACCAAGGGCAAGATGGATGGATGGCATCCTTGAAGTGACTGGACTGACCTTGAAGGAGCTGGGGGTGGTGACGGCGACAGGGAGCTCTGGCGTGGGCTGGTCCATGAGGTCACGAAAAGTTGGAAATGACTGAACAAATGAACAACAACAACAATCATGTCTCCTCTCAGTCTTCTCTTCTTCAGGCTAAACATGCAGCTCTTTAAGCCGCTCCTCATAGGGCTTGTTCTCCAGACCCTTGATCATTTTAGTCGCCCTCCTCTGGACACATTCCAGCTTGTCAATATCTCTCTTGAATTGTGGTGCCCAGAATTGGACACAATATTCCAGGTGTGGTCTAACCAAAGCGGAATAGAGCATGGGGAGCATGACTTCCTTAGATCTAGACACTAGGCTCCTCTTGATGCAGGCCAAAATCCCATTGGCTTTTTTTGCTGCTGCATCACATTCCTCATGTTCCCCTTCCTCCCCACGAGGACTCCAAGATCTTTTTCACACGCCCTGCTCTCGAGCCACGCATCCCCCATTCTGTCTTTGCAATTTTCTGCCTAAGTGGAGTATCTTGCATTTGACCCTGTTGAACTTCATTGTGTTAGTTTTGGCCATCCATCTCTCTCATCTGTTCAGATTGTTTTGAATTCTGCTCCTGTTTTGCATTCTTCAACCTGGGTTGAACTCACACCACGGAGGCGACCTAGTGTCTCACAGACACCACATCCACATCCTTGACATAAAGAGGTCAAGGCTCAGGGGCGATTCCACGGCTACCTGCAGAGGGGCTTGGACTTTGGGTTAGAAGACACCTCTCCTCACTCAACCTTCTTCTTCCTTCTCACTCATAAACCCCATGAGATTAGCTTGTGCTCTGAAGGACTGCTGGTGGCTTTCTGGCCGCCTTCTGTCCCCCGCTGACCGTTCCCTTTGTGGGTGATGCCCTTTGTCCCTGCCTGCTTCCTGCTTTCCACATTCTCCTCTTTCGCTGCCAGGAAGCCAGAAGTGCTGCGTAAGGCCAGCTGAAAGGAGCCATTCTTCGAAGGCTTGTGGAACATTTTTCCCTTGGAAATGATCCCCTGAGGAATGTCGTCCATCACTTTCTCCCTCTGAGTCAGGCCAATCCATTGAACGGAACGAAGGGCCGTGGCTGGCGCCTGTTACGTAAGAGCAAGAACGCCTTGCCTTGCAGAGCAAAGGGTCAAAAGCCAAAGCCTTTACTTGCAAATAGAGGGCATGGAGGGAATGCACCTGCCCTGGAGTATAAACCTTGGGGTAATTCATATATACAAGTGTGTGTGTGTGTGTGTGTGTGTGTGTGTAGAAACAGCAATACTAATGCAAAAAGAAACATTTTTAAAATTTTCGTAATATATGAGGGTTGAATGAAAAGTAATGCCTCCACCTTCGTAACTCCTCAACAGATGGCAGTACTGGTATGCAGCAGGTACTGGCCTGTTCAGTAGACTCTCCTCTACAGTTCCATTTTGACAGGAAACCTTAGCATTGAACGGTTATGTTGTTAAAGTGCAAAGTATGGAACCCTGCACAGACAATCAGTCAATGCGACTTAAGCAATGTATGCAGTAGGTACTGGCTTGTTCAGTAGACTCTCCTCTACAGTTCCATTTAGGCCAGAAGCCTTAGCATTGAACGGTTGTGTTGTTAAAGTGCAAAGTATGGAACCCTGCACAGACAGTCGGTCAATGCGACTTAAGCAACATATGCAGCAGGTACTGGCTTGTTCAGTAGACTCTCCTCTACAGTTCCATTTTGATGGGAAGCCTTAGCATTGAACAGTTGTGTTGTTAAAGTGCAAAGTATGGAACCCTGCACAGACAGTCGGTCAATGTGACTTAAGCAACGTATGCAGCAGGTACTGGCTTGTTCAGTAGACTCTCCTCTACAGTTCCATTTTGGCGGGAAGTCTTAGCATTGAATGGTTGTGTTGTTAAAGTGCGAAGTATGGAACCCTGCACAGACAGTCGGTCAATGTGACTTAAGCAACATGCAGTAATTGAATTCTTGACAGCAGAAGGTGTCACCCCAAAGGGCATTCATCAGAGAATGCAAGCTGTTTATGGTGATTGTGTTGATGTGAGTACTGTGCGTCGTTGGGCGAGTAAGTTTCTGCTTCTTGGCAGGGGGTTGGACTGGATGGCCCATGAGGTCTCTTCCAACTCTTTGATTCTATGATTCTAAGTTTAAAGTTGTTGAGGTGACATCTTCTGCTGTCAAGAATTCAATGACTGCACGTTGCTTAAGTTGCATTGACCGACCGTCTGTGGAGGGTTCCATACTTCACACTTTAACAACACAACCATTCAATGCTAAGGCTTCTCACCAAAATGGAACTGTAGAGGAGAGTCTACTGAACAAGCCAGTACCTCCCGCATACCAGTACTGCCATCTGCTGAGGAGTTACAAAGGTGGAGGCATTACTTTTCATTCAACCCCCGTATATTGCTAAAACTATGCAGCTATCAAAATAGCTACTATTTGTTGTTGTTCATTTGTTCAGTCGCTTCATGACCTCATGGACCAGCCCACGCCAGAGCTCCTTGTTGGCCATCACCACCCCCAGCTCCTTCAGATAGCTACTATAACATACCACAGAACCAAAACAAAGGGAAACATGCCAATCACGTGCTTACCAATGTTAACATAGATACATGTCCTAGGGTGCATAGTGGGCTGAGGCACTGGGGTGGTCCGGGTTAGAATCCTAAGTATTGCTTCCCAAAGACCAAATCCCAGTGTCTCCCCAAGATTGGCACAGCACCCGGTCCCAGTTTCTCAATCCCCACTCACTTTTAGTTCTGGCTTCATGATGACTTTGCTCAGGAGGGAGCCGTCTTCAGCAAAGGCAGGATGGTCCGGGGTGAAGTGGTTGAGGGCAGAGAGGGAGACCCAGGTGACCTTCTTCCGCGTGTAGACATGGAATTCATCCTGGATGAGAAAACCAAGGTCAGGAGCAAATAAAGGCATGCAAAGGAAGAAGAGGAAGGAGACAAAGAAGAAGAAGGTCATGGAATCACTTCTAAAAATGGTGGCTGAAACCCTGCATTGGAGGACATGTGTGGGGTGCAGTGCTACATCTCATGGTGTCTCCTCTGAACTCTCCTTCTAAGAAGCGAAGCCTGAGTATTTGTATATTTGTATTTATGAAGTCGAGCACCCCCCCCCCAAAAAAAAAAAAATAAGGGATAGTGACTTATAGTTCTGCCAAGGGCAAAGGCACCAGACTGCACAGTAGGGGTTAAGTCTTGGTCACATTGCCAAGGCACTAACAACAACAAGGACCCCACGAGACTTTTGGGGAACGGCTGGATCTTGGGACTTCTGCCCTTCATGAGAGTTGTAGTTTCCCAAGGACCAGCTTCGATCCCAGCGTGGCAGAATTCCACCCAATGGCTCAGTGGGAAATCAACAGACTTTCCTTTTGGGCTTTAAGAGCTCTGCCTAATGTTTTGGACTCACAAGGACATCTTTCCCGCTCATGAACTTCCCTCAAAATGAACTCATATTGCTTGAAAATAATTTCTTTATTAAATTTCTTTGGTGGAGGGATGGGGAAGGAGATATTTGATATGAATTTCTGTGGATTTCTGTATTCCCCCMTGTATTTTCCTTATTCTTGCCCTGACACCCAAACCTATCACTCCTTCCCCCTCCCYCTCCCCTKGGGTAAAKCAATCCAGGAAGCGGCCAGCTGTTGAARGGGCAATCABVKGCAACAWAAGAAACTCATATCCYAGAACTMTGGYRAGGACAATAAGWCCTGGAATCCCTRTGTGGCTCCAGGATTRARGCCATCAGGCTGGRGATYTCYTTCTGCAGACTTTTGGCCATTTYACAATAGGAGYGAGAYGCCYYTCAGGGGGCCGCCTTCCCAATTTTGTTTACTTCATTCAAAACCKGACATTTCCCCAGCCTCCCCTTTTGTGCCTTATCTGATTGTGGCAGGAAGGCCAGGATGAAAGTAATCAAGGATCATCGCAACTCCACTCAAGGACCATAGCCTGGGCATCGCATCCATTGATTCATTTGCCGGCTCATTGTTTCTGTTTTCATCCCGCCTCTCTCCTCCTGATTTGTCAAGGCGCTGAAGCAGGGAAAGCTCTCCCATTGGAGGGCAGAGGGAGGGAGTTTTGAAACTTTCAAACTTGTATTTTGCTATAAATATGCCTCTGATCAATGTGCTGGTATTAGGCCTGGGTAACAACGGAAAAATTTGTTTCTAAAATCGATTCGTTTTTTGGGGTTTTTTGCGTTTCAATATTTAAAAGAATTCCGAAATTTTCCTTAAAAAAAGTTCGATATTTACGAAATTTCGTAAATGGTAAAAAAATTACAAAACAATAACGAAACAATAACGAATCGATTCGTTAATGGCGGCCGCGATCGCGCAATACGCTAAAAAAACTTCTGAAGCTTCCCTCTCCCTCTGTTGTTGACTGTTGGTGTGATATTATAATTTTTTTTCACTAATTAAACAAAAAACAACTATAAAACTTGCCCCAGACATGCGGAAATAATAACGAAACGACCTCAAACCAATAACGAAACGAATACATAACGAAATACGAAGCATTTACGAAACGAATTGAAAAATTCGTTTCGTTTTTAAGTTGCTCCAGAATGGTTCGTTATCGCTTCGTTAACAAAAAAAATAACGAATTTTTAACGAATTACGAATTAACGAAACGAAACTGCCCAGCCCTAGCTGGTATGCTTTGTGTGCGATCTATCACCACATTGCATCCGTCTCAGCTGAATCGCTCATTAAACCTCGGTGCCACTTCTTCGCTTTGGCAAGAGTCTAATTTCAATTTTTAATATTAATAAAATTGCTGGAATCAGGCTTCTCTGAAGGCTTGCCAAGGTAGCGTTCCCTCTTTGGTGGGAACTAAGGGTCCTCTCCCCTTGGAGTTGACCCTCCTAAAGTCTAGTTTGACTTCATTTATACGGTGTTGTATTTGTCTCTCTGCTTTAACTATGTTGTCCCTTGCCTTGACCCAAGTTAGAGGCTTCTTGGAGAAGACCTTTGTCTTCGCCCCTTTTCTGACAGGAAGAAAGTCCAGGTGCCTTGGGGCCACTTTGTCCACATCAGGACCGTGTCCACATTGCACAGCTCTAACACATCACAGTTGAAGTGGCCTCAGAATGGTGCAATGGGTCATTAGAGAACACATTCTGCTATTGATGTAGGACAGTATTTCTCAACCTGGGGGTCGGGACCCGTGGGGGGTCGCGATGGGGTGTTGGAGGGGTTGCCAAAGACCATCAGGATACACAGTATTTTCTGTTGGTCATGGAGGTTCAGTGTGGGAAGTCTGGCCCAATTCTATCGTTGGTGGGGTTCAGAATGCTCTCTGATTGTAGGTGAACTATAAATCCCAGCAATTACAACTCCCAAATGTCAAGGTCTGTTTTCCCCAAACTCCCAACAGTGTTCACATTTGGGCATATTGAGCATTCATGCCAAGCTTAGTCCAGATCTATCATTGTTTGAGTCCACAGTGCTTTCTGGAGATAGGTGAACTACAACTCCCAAACTCAAGGCCAATGCTCACCTAACCCTTTCATTATTTTTTGCTGGTCATGGGCGTTCTGTGTGCCAAGTTTGGGTCAATTCCATCTCTGGTGGAGTTCAGAATGTTCTTTGATTGTAGGTGAACTATAAATCCCAGCAACTACAACTCCCAAGGTCCAGAGAATGAAAATACATCCTGCCTATCAGATATTTACATGACGATTCATAACAGTAGCAAAATTCCAGTTATGAAGTAGCAACGAAAATAATTTTAGGGTTGGGGGTCATCACAACATGAGGAACTATATAAAGGGGTCACGGCATTAGGACGGTTGAGAACCACTGATGTAGGAGGTCCAACAATGGGAGCGAGCCTGATGCAGGCCTGTAGCCAGGATTTTGATTGGGGGGGGGGGGAATTTGATTCGGGTGAGGGGGGGGCTGAGGATCTACCCTAGCAAACCTTTTGTATTGTTATCCCAATACCCCCATGCATATGGGATATATTGAGCATGGTGATCAGATCATGATATGAATAAACATAACAGTTTAAATAATGTACCAGTAAGGCCTTCTCGCGGACCACCATGAGAATTTGGGGGGGGGGGGTGTTCTGTCGCACGCTGGGCCTGTAACAGCTGTCTTTTCTATAGGACGTATACTTTAAACCCAGCGGGAAGCCAGGGCGCCTCAAAGAGAGGTTCTCAGGGATTTTTCTGAAGTAATGGTCTTTAGATTCTTTAATGATACAACAAAGTCAATGGTTCAAACAACACTTCAAGGCTCTCTTAGTCTAGTCCTCAATGGATTGGTACTTGACTTTGATTAACTGTACTTTCTCTGTAGGAAAAAACCCTTTTTAACCTCTCCCAGGCTGTTTACTATCTATGCCTCATTGGTGTGGGTCCTACTACCGATTCCAAATGCGTCTGGGTATCGAGTAGACCTACCAGCCGAGGCTTGTAGATATTTCAGCTGGAGTTCCATGGATCTGTAATGCTGTCCTCCCTCAGAGAATTCTTTGAAAACTTCAGGACTGTTTTTCCTCTGATACCTGTGAGGCTGAGAGGCTGTGAGCTCTCAGCCAGAGCCTTGGGACCTTTCCCCTGGAATTTCTGTTTCTGTTTCCCTGGATGTTCTTGAGAAAAGAAGCTTTTCTATGGGACGAGCTGGTCTACGTCCTATAGTTTAGCTTCCTTATGAGAGACTGCCCAAAAAAATGGCTCCTTTCCCTCCCAGAGCCCTGAACAAGGGGCAGAACCAAAGCTTAATTATGATGGACAGGAGGCCTGCCCTATGACTGCAAACAGATAACAGAAAGAAAATAAAGTTGGAGCTCCTGGTACAGCCGTACCAGCACAGGGAGGCTTCTCTTATGAAGCCCCCCCACCCCCACCCCCAAGCTACATGCCTGGCCTGATGTGTTGAGAATGAGATTGAGATTGCAATAGAAAGACTAAAGTTCCCGGCTCTTTGAGGAGCACCAAACAGCCATGGGCATCCCCTTGTCTCCACTAAATGCAAAAAAGGAGCAGATGCGCCCTTACGGTGGTTCTGAGCAGGACAACGTCTGCCTCCTCCAGACTGCATGGCGCACAATTGGCCCAGACGTCCCACTCTGGCTTCCAGTAGAAGAGGAGCAGAAGGCCTCCGCAGGAGAAGACGTATCCCACAACGCAGAGGGCCCTCCGGATGCCTTGGGTCTTGTAGCCAAACATCTCCTGGGGAGGCAAGGAATTTATTTATTTATTTATTTATTATTCAAACTTATATGCCGCCACTCCCCTGGGGCTCGGAGCGGCTTACAAGAACAGGCTAAAATCGAACAACAATTTAAAACAATTTAAAAACAGCAATATCAAAGATCAAAGGCCTGTCGAAACAGATATGTCTTACATGCCCTGCGGAAAGCTGATAAGTCCCGCAAGGCACGGACTTCGGGTGGCAGAGTATTCCAGAGCGATGGTGCCACTGCTGTGAAGGCTCTGCGCCTGGTTGCTGTTAGACGCAAGGTCTTGACACTGGGAATTTCCAATAGATCTTGGTCCTCAGAACGGAGGGATCTCTGGGGTTGGGAGGGGGTGAGGCGGTCCCTCAGGTACATCGGCCCCAGACCATGCAAGGCCTTCAAGGTGAGTACCATCCCTTTGAAAGTGATCCGGTGCTCAATTGGTAACCAATGCAGCTGCAGGAAGATTGGGGTGATGTGGCATCTCATCGGAATTCCCGCAAGAAGCCGAGCAGCTGCATTTTGTACCAACTTGAGCTTCCGGATCACCGACAGAGGAAGGCCAATGTAGAGGGCGTTACAGTAGTCCAGTCTTGAGATGACCGTGGCCTGGATCACCGTAGCCAGGTCGTCCCTGGACAGGGAGGGGGCCAGCCGTCTAGCCTGCCGCAGGTGAAAGAAGGCAGTTCTGCTCACGGCGGGGAGACCTGGGCCTCCATCGTCAGCAGAGGGTCCAAAAGGACTCCCAGATTCTTTACCAATGATGACGGGCGTAGCGCCTCGCCATCCAGGGTAGGCAGCTGGATATCCCCACTGCCCGGTTGACCCAGCCATAGGATCTCCGTCTTTGCTGGATTCACCCTCAACCTGCTGGCACGCAGCCATCCAGTCACGGCCTCGAGGCACTGATGGAAACAATCGGGTGCAGAGTCCGGTCGGCCTTCCATCTTCAGCACCAGCTGAGTGTCATCGGCATACTGATAACACTCAAGCCCAAAACCTCGAACCAGCTGAGCAAGTGGTCGCATATAGATGTTAAACAACAGAGGGGAGAGAATGGCCCCCTGAGGAACCCCACAAGAGAGAGAGGGGGGACCTCTCAGAGACCAGGCCTCCCCTCTCCACTCGCTGTCCACGGTTGTGAAGAAAGGAGGGGAGCCAGTTTAAAGCTGTCCCCCTGATTCCAGCAACAGCAAGGCGGTGGGTCAAAAGATTGTGGTTACTGTGACATCCAATAACACAAGCAGCGCTGACCCGCCCTGGTCAAGCTGGCATCGAAGGTGGAAGAGCATTTGCCATTGATGTGCCTTTGGCACAGAACATCTCCTTCCAGCCGACGAGTCCAAGCTGAGCAGGGAAGGCTCTGCCCATGCCAGACTCACCTGGCTGCACCGCCACCCCCTGGAAAGGCTTCTCTCACACCAGCTGTGCTCACCATACCTGGGAACATGCACCTTCTAAGAGGCATGGGCAACCATGGCAGCTCCGTGGGAATATTTTGGGCCCAGAACTCTTTTTGAAAGCATTTCAAAACAACATGAAACAATACTGGCAAGCAGGCAGGCAGGTGACTCTAAGGCAGGCCTGAGCAAACTTTGGCCCTCCAGGTGTTTTGGACTTTTACCGGGCTTTAGCGCAGCTGGTAAATCACCCGCAATGATAAGATCTACCAACCGAAAAGTTGCCAGTTCGAAGGTGGGTGTGAGCACCCGACTGTCAGCTGTGCTCACTGTTTACCTAAGCAGTTCGAAAACAGCTTTGAGCTGTAAGTAGAGAAATTAGGTACCGCTAAAACAAGCGGGATGTATTTTACAACACTATAAAAGAAAAAAGGTCAGAAAATGCCTGGCAACCAAAAGGAAGAAGGAAGTCTTGATAGCCCTTTGTCATAGGGGATGGAGTGACAGCACCCCCCTGTGGCTGGATTGTGTGGATGTCCACACAACATACCTCCTTTCTGTTGAAGCTGTTTGCAATTTATAGTGCAGATTTCAAAGTATGTAAGTATGTATGTTTATTTATTTATATTTATTTATTTATTACTGCACTTGTAGACCGCCATTCTCAGCCCTAGGGCGACTCACGGCGGTGTACAACATGTAAAAAACAATTTACCATAAGACAATTACATAAACAACAACAACAATATCACTATTAATACTACAATTACACTAAATCATTCGCGACGTCTCATCATAGAATCACAATCCAGTCTCGTTTTCCATACTCCATTCCAATCATCATTGCCATTGTCGTAGCACTTAATCAAATGCCTTCTCAAACAACCACGTTTTTAGTCTCTTGCGGAATGTCATGAGGGAGGGCGCCTGTCTGATGTCGACA